CATCTCCCCCTCTTGCCCCCCCCCCGCACCTTCCCTGGGAGGGTTGGAAACGTTTTTTGTTCAAATTGGCAAAAATCGGGAGGCCAAAGAGCGGTGGAGGCTGGGGGGAGACCTCGGGGGGGGAACACAGTGTTTGGGATCATCAGGGTGGAGCTGGGATCCTCGGGATGGAGCTGGGATCCTCGGGGTGGAGCTGGGATCCTCGGGGTGGAGCTGGATCCTCAGGATGGAGCTGGATCCTCGGGGTGGAGCTGGGATCCTTGGGATGGAGCTGGGATCCTTGGGATGGAGCTGGATCCTCAGGATGGAGCTGGGATCCTTGGGATGGAGCTGGGATCCTTGGGATGGAGCTGGATCCTTGGGATGGAGCTGGGATCCTCAGGATGGAGCTGGGATCCTTGGGATGGAGCTGGGATCCTCGGGATGGAGCTGGGATCTCTGGGATGGAGCTGGGATCCTTGGGGTGGAGCTGGGATCCTCAGGATGGAGCTGGATCCTTGGGATGGAGCGGGATGCTCAGGATGGAGCTGGGATCCTCAGGATGGAGCTGGGATCCTCGGGGTGGAGCTGGGATCCTTGGGATGGAGCTGGGATCCTCGGGATGGAGCTGGGATCCTTGGGATGGAGCTGGGATCCTTGGGATGGAGCTGGGATCCTTGGGGTGGAGCTGGGATCCTCGGGGTGGAACTGGATCATCAGGACGGAGCTGGGATCCCCGGGATGGAGCTGGATCCTCAGGATGGAGCTGGGATCTTCGGGGTGGAGCTGGATCCTCGGGATGGAGCTGGATCCTCGGGATGGAGCTGGGATCTCTGGGATGGAGCTGGGATCCTCGGGATGGAGCTGGGGTGGAGCTGGATCCTCAGGACAGAGCTGGGATCCTTGGGATGGAGCTGGGATCCTCAGGATGGAGCTGGGATCTCTGGGATGGAGCTGGATCCTTGGGATGGAGCTGGGATCTCTGGGATGGAGCTGGGATCCTCGGGATGGAGCTGGGATCCTTGGGATGGAGCTGGGATCGCCCAGATGGAGCTGGGATCTCTGGGATGGAGCTGGGATCCTCGGGGTGGAGCTGGATCCTCGGGATGGAGCTGGGATCCTTGGGATGGAGCTGGGATCCTCAGGATGGAGCTGGGATCCTCAGGATGGAGCTGGGATCTCTGGGATGGAGCTGGGATCCTCGGGGTGGAGCTGGGATCTCTGGGATGGAGCTGGGATCCCTGGGATGGAGCTGGGATCCCCGGGTGCCCGCTGTGTCGTTATCCGTGGAGCTCGTCCAAGCATTAATTACCGGGGGGGGGTGTACGGGGCCGGTCTCGTTAGGACGGTGCCGGCAGCCGTGGCGTGTCGTGGCGCAGCCGTGGGTGGTCGGCCGGATGTCCCTGTCCTAATTTGTCCCCA